CAATCTAGAGGCCAGTGAAAGTCGATCCCGCATCCTCAAGGGCCTTTTAAATTTATTTGAATACCCGTAAAGGGTCCAATAGAGAATTACATAACATGAGCCCTACCCGGTTCAAACAGCAGTCGCTCATATATATACTCATCAATTCGCGAGTTCGCGAAACCCTACTGCCAAAAAGCACCATTGCCGACTGCCGCTACTGCGAGAAAGGGGCTGAATTCGACTTCGATTTGCAGCGATGGTACCTTGTTTCTCTATCTTTTTGAATATCTATATACTATTAACCTAATGGAAGTTCACTTGCGATGTATGTATATGTGATGATTTGCTGCATTTAATTTGCTAGATCATACCAGAGAAGAATCGTAAAGAAATCTGCAAGTACCTCTTCCAAGGTTAGTGTATACTTGCGTTTAGTTGGTAGTTGTCATGATTTGCTGTTTGTTGCTCACTTCTCGCGTGTTTGGTTGACGAGAAAAAGGGAAATTTGGGATCGTTATATTAGTTGTTGTGATTTTTCAGCAAGAACCAGAAAGGTATAGCCTCAAACGTTAAAGACTGTTTTAAGTAGTGTGAGGTGGAAATTGAGTGGAGAGTTTGTGTTACTTGTTATCCGATTGTGGAACTTAACCATCTAAATGGTAGAAGAGATGCTTATATTTCTTTTAGATTTTTATTGGGTTCATACTTAAATTTAAATTGATTAAGATGTATAGAGAGGTGGAGAATTAGATTTTGTTCTGATTCTTTTGTGTTTTTTTATAATAATAACTATTGAATTTACAGAGGGAGTTTGCTATGCTAAGAAGGATTACAATCTTGCAAAGCATCCAGAGATAGATGTTCCCAACCTGCAGGTGATCAAATTGATGCAGAGTTTCAAATCCAAGGAGTATGTCAGAGAAACATTTGCCTGGATGCACTATTACTGGTACCTTACCAATGAGGGAATCACATTTTTGAGAACTTATCTCAATCTACCTTCAGAAATTGTGCCAGCCACTCTGAAGAAGGCAGCCAAGCCCCCAGGTCGCCCTATGGGTGGCCCACCTGGTGATCGCCCCAGGTAATGTATTTGATAGCTTTCCACCATTGAGGGTTTTCGTATACCATTACATGTGTTTCTTTTGTGGCTGAGAGTATATTTTGGTTGTGTTTGGTTAGGGGACCCCCTCGCTTTGAAGGAGACCGTCCAAGGTTTGGTGACAGAGATGGTTATCGGGGAGGTCCTCGAGGAGGTGACTTTGGTGGTGAGAAGGGAGGAGCCCCTGCTGATTTCCAACCTTCCTTCAGGGTAACCCTCTTTCGTGCTTATTAGTTTCTATGGGATTACATTCTTCTTGTATTTGATTGCACTAACTTGCATGCATTATAATTTTTTTTTCAACTTAGAGTCGAGGTTGGAAGAATTGACTTAATTTTTCTATGTATCAAGACAACTATAAGTTTGTATGGTTGAATCTCCTAACCCACTTATCTCAAACCATGAAAAATTTTAGCCTACCATGTTACTGGTTCACGGAGTACTGGAATCATAGGTTGGTAATTGACTTCACCTTTGCCCGAAAATGTAAGAAGTCGGTATATGTTTAGAGCCTTCTCTTCCTGATAACCATTTCACGGTCCTCCCAATGTTTTGGTTAGACATGTAAGAATTGGCCCTATACATGGGCATATCAATTGAGAAGAATTTTGTATGCTATTTTATATGACTTTCACAGCAACTTCGCACGAGGAAGCCGAAAATCTGTCATGTTAAATACTACCTTCACAACAATCATCTTAGTTACTAGACGCCAGTCACTAAATATCTGTGCTCCCCTCCCTTGCAGGGATCTGGTGGAAGGCCTGGGTTTGGCCGCGGAGGTGGAGGCTATGGTGCAGCGCCTTCAGGATCAGGTGGTTTTGCTTGAAAGGCAATGCTAGTGTTAGTGTCGGAATCTTCCTAGTTTAGCCATTTAATATCTCAGAGCACTTTGTATTGAACATCTGTAACTTTAAATACTATATTGGCCTTGCAACGTGATCACAGTTTTGTTTTAGTTTGTTATTTAAAGAATTGAACTTCTATATGTCTGGATTGAATTTTCTAGATTGTAATTCCTGAAAGGTGAAATGGGGTAATGGAATTATTGAGCACGAAGCAACTAAGGTCTATATGATTTCATCAAGTCTTTTATTGGAGTTCTCTTAGTGCTTAATCTGCCAATTTCATATAGGTCTTGGATTTCTGGTTTTCTGTTGAAACTGAGATCTGTTGAACTTTAACCGAAAGATTAAGCCGGATATTAATTGATCCAGCCTAATGTTCAGTTTGAGCCAGGTAATGTTGGCTGTTATAATTAGAAATGGAAGGGAAACATCTATCTCTGCCATGGGCATGAAAGTTTAACTCTTCGGCTTTTCACTCTTCACATATTTGTAAGCATATTCTTCAGAGATACCAAAAATGAGATTTTATACCCTTTAAAGTCAGCTTTGTTTCTCTGGTATTGTAATTTAATTAATATATCTCTTTAGAGTTAGAAAATACATAATTTTACAAAATTAAATTGTAAAATGTTCTTATGTATGAGAAAGAGCTTATGATTTTCTCAAGCAAATGGAAATTTAGAAGTGATATCTGTTTGGTGAGACCTAACTTGTGGAGCTTAATTGTTTTCGGGAGGAAGATTAATGGGGAGTACTGTTAGACTTTTGGAGTAATGAAATAATAATGAAATGAAAAAACACAGAATAGAAATTTGAGTTTAGTTCTTCAATTTTAAATAATATATTTTGTATTTCTTTTATATGAAAGTGGAAACTTGTAGTTATTTATTAGAGATATAAATAAAATTTGTTTAATTGAGTAAAATTGGTAAATTTTGATTATTTTTTATGTATGATTATTCAAATTAACTACTAATAAAATGTAACTTTGGATTAAACATAACATAAATTAAATCAAAACAATTCAAATTTCACCAATATCTTGATCAAATTCCATTTGCAATTTACTGGAATGCTGCTGAAATACATACTCAAAGTAAAAATAAGATAAATTGCAATTTATTAAGTCAGGAGATGTATTATTTTCTTGTCTCTTTTATCAGGAATTTTTTATGGTAAGCCGAAAATTAGTACGGTAACAAATTGCTCCTTGAGAAAGAAATATTGCAAGGCAAGAAATATGTGCAAGGAGGCCATACATATTTAACTCCATTTGTAGCATACAGACGCGCACGGAGACTCTTGAAAAAGTAAAAAAAGCTACAGTAACACAAACAGAGACACAAAAACAACCAAGTTGAAAATTCACTACCCAACGCCCTCACCCCCACAAAAAGCCTCCAAGAGGAGGCACCATTTCTAGTTTTTAATCGACCTCCTCCATCTTGCTCTCCTCAGCGCCATCTTCCTCCAGAGGCGGCATGTCATCATCATCACCAGCAGTCTCCTCCTCATCAATGCTCAGACCCAACTTCAGCATTCTGTGAATCCTAGAAGCAAATGTGTTTGGATCATCAAGGCTGAAACCAGAAGTCAGGAGAGCAGTCTCAAAGAGCAGCAAGACAAGATCTTTGACAGACTTGTCGTTCTTGTCAGCTTCAGCCCTCTTCCTGAGCTCCTCCATGATGCCGTTGTCAGGGTTGATTTCCATTGTCTTCTTGCTCGACATGTATGAACTCATGCTGCTGTCTCTAAGGGCCTGAGCTTTCATGATTCTCTCCATGTTGGCTGTCCACCCGTACTCTCCGGTTACCAAACAGCAAGGAGAATCCACAATTCTGTCGGACACTACCACCTTCTCCACCTTGTCTCCTAATATGTCCTTGATTACTTTGCACAGGTCCTCGAATGATTTTTTCTTCTCTTCCTTTTTCTTTCTCTCTTCCTCTGTTTCATCGTCCAGCTTCAGACCTTCCTTGGTAGCGGAGACGAGCTTCTTCCCGTCATATTCCTTTAGTTGGCCGACAGCATACTCATCAATGGCGTCCACCATGAAGAGCACTTCGTATCCCTTCTTTTTGAGTCGCTCCAAGAATGGTGAGTTCTCAACGGCTTTCTTGCTCTCACCTGTAATGTAGTAAATATCTTTTTGTCCCTCCTTCATTCTGGTAACATAGTCCTTCAAGCTTGTCCATTCGTCTCCACTCTTGGTTGAGTGGTAGCGAAGGAGGTCTGCCAGTTTCGCTCTGTTCTGGCTATCCTCATGGATGCCCAATTTCAGGTTCTTCGAGAATGCCTCATAGAACTTGTTGTAGTCTTCTTTGTTCTCTGCAATCTCATTGAACATTTCAATGCATTTTTTAACAAGGTTCTTTCTAATTACCTTCAGAATCTTGTTCTGCTGAAGCATCTCACGAGAGATGTTGAGTGGTAAGTCATCAGAGTCAACGACACCCTTAACGAATCCGAGGAACTCGGGGATGAGTTCCTCACAGTTGTCCATGATAAAGACTCTGCGGACATAGAGTTTGATATTGTTCATCTTCTTCCTGCTGTCGAAAAGATCAAATGGCGCCCTTTTCGGTACAAATAGAATCGCTTTGAACTCAAGTTGACCCTCGACAGAGAAGTGTTTCACGGCAAGGTGATCCTCCCAGTCATTGGTCAAGCTCTTGTAGAAGGAGGCATATTCCTCCTTGGTGATCTCCTCGGGCTTGCGCAACCAGATAGGCTTCTGCTTGTTGATGAGTTGCCACTCATGAGAAACCTCCTTGATCTTCTTCTTCTTTGATTTGGTCTCTTTTTCCTCGTCAACCTCCTCAATATCTCCTTCCTCTTCCTTTTTGGGTTCATCATCCTCATCATCACTAATTTCCTTCTCGGTTGTCTTCTCAGTCCAGAGATAGATGGGGTAGCTGATGAACTCAGAATGCTTCTTCACAAGGTCCTTAATCCTTCTCTCCTCCAGGTACTCCAGCTGGGAGACAAAATAACGCAAAGCCATGTTAGTAACCTTCACAAGACAGAAGGATTGCAACATTTAAAAAAAAAAAAATCATTTGTACGAATGCGATACCTGGTCCTCCTTGAGGAAGAGAGTGATCTTCGTTCCCCTGCCAAGTTGCTCACCATTGACATCCCTGGTAACTGTGAAGGAACCGCCAGCTTGGGATTCCCAGATGTATTGCTCGTCATCATTGTGCTTTGTTGTTACGATCACCTTCTCTGCAACAAGGTAAGCTGAGTAGAAACCAACACCAAATTGACCAATCATGCTCACGTCAGCTCCAGCCTGCAAGGCCTCCATGAACTCCTTCGTTCCTGACCTAGCAATGGTACCCAAATTGTTGACCAAATCTGCACATAAAGACGTAAATCAGTCTTAACGCCCATATTACACTCCCGCGTTGAGGAAATAGTTGATGATAAGGCTTATATTAGCAATGTCACTTTGGAAAACACTAAAATTGTACCTGCTTTGGTCATGCCGATACCGCTGTCTATGATGGAGAGGGTCTTGTTGACCTTGTCAGGAACGAGCCTAATGAAGAGCTCTGGTTGAGCATCGAGCTTGCTCTTGTCAGTTAAGCTCTCGAATCGAATCTTGTCAAGAGCCTACATGATCACAAAGCATTAACCATAAAAGTTATTGTCGAAACTAAATCAAACCAATCAAGTGCTCCCTAATGCAAACCGAATCACAGCGAATCCTGGGGCTAGAAACTTCTGCAACTATAATAAACAGTAAAAAGTCGGGGAAAATTATTTTCTTTCCAGAACATTTCAGTTCTGTTTAATAGCTTGTCCGACATCAGTCCTAATCCTAGACATACAATTCTCGCATTTACTACAATTGACAGTAAAAACTCAAATCATTGAACAATCTATCGCATAAAAATTTAGCGACAATAAACAATTTGTAATCAGCAAACAAAACGAAGCATAGCAGCCTACGAAGCTACATATATACAGATTCTATTAGAAAAATACAGAGATAAGAGAGTTTAGTTACGTACATCAGATGAGTTGCTGATAATCTCACGAAGGAAAATCTCCTTGTTGCTGTAAAATGTGTTGATAATCAAACTCAGAAGCTGGTTAATCTCGGCCTGAAAGGCGAAGGTCTCTGCATCAGCCATCTGCACATCCGCCATTCCTCTATCCTTCTGCAATACAACCAAATAAGCGAACGCAGCGAGAGAAAACAACGAGGAGCGCGAGAGATTTCAGAGATTTGCGATTGTAGCTTCGAAAATTTTTCGTTGATCTGAAACACGGAAAGGGATGTGTATTTATATAAGAAGCATAGAGGTTCTAGTCCCTTCTCTGGTTAACGAGGATAGACCATACAGGTGGAAATGAATTCTGGATTGTTCTACGAAACGTAGTCGTTTGGTTCGATCGCTGGAGTTTGTTCAGTTTTTCCCCCTTGTTCTTTGCGTGCGTGGGAGATTTTTCGAGGGAAAGTGATTTTTTCGGGTTACGGGTGGGATTCGAGAAGGTTCGTACAGTTATAGCGTCTGGAATGTTCCTGTCAAAGTGACCGTTTCGGGCAAACCAGGATCTCGCACGTGCCGAAAAACGTTTACACGTGCGCAGTTTGACTTCACACTCCCGAAAATGATGATTTGATTGGTTTATTAATTTGATTATTTAAATTTTTATATTTATTTACGTATAGAAATTAACTAAAATTAATTAATTTAATCAAAATTGACTGGCGCTTTAATTTGATTATTTAACCTTTTATTTTAATGTATTTTATAACAATCAAATTTAACTATTTATCGTAATAATTTTATTTTAGATTTTCTGTATCAAAATTATTAATTGTAAATTATTAATTTATTATTTTATATATAATTTTTAAATTATAATAAATAATTGAAATAGTCTTATAATTCATCTAACTTTAATTTAAACTATAAATAAAAGTAAAAAAGAGAAAAAAAAATATATAAAACGGCATTTCAGTAAACATAAAACGGCAGTTCCGAAAACATAACCCACCTAGTTTATGTGGACTTACAAGGCTTTAGATCAAAGGCCCAAATTAGAATCACCTAAAATTGTATCCATTGGGGGCGTAAAACTCGTTATTCTTTAAATATATTAATATAATAGCGGTGGATAACTTATAGTAATTAATACAATAGTATTAATAATTTATTTTATTAATGTATTTATAAGATTATACTAGTTTAAATTGAATTTTATACAATTAGGTTTGAAATTCATTACATACATAGAACTTGTCATTCTATTACTGTATTATAAACTGACTATAACCGACACATAATATTTAGTACATCAATATTCATGATTTATCCATTAGAGTGCTCGTGAAATTGAAAACTAAATTAAGTTTCATTCCAACGAGTCATGTATCAACTTTCAATTAGTTATTTTTATGATTTTTACCAACATTCAATTTCTGTATCGGTGAGTAGTGTGATATTTTTACTGAATTAGTATAACTCACCCTTTCATTAATTATTTCAGATCAAGATGACCAAAATCCCAGATCCCGATCCACAAAGAAGTTGTGAATAGTTTACTATCCGGACTCCCTTCAAAAGTTAGTGAATGTAGTCTAATGATGCTCAGTTGTTTACTTTTCGTTTGTTTTTTTTATAGAATATATATTTTCGTAATCCTACTGGTATTCTAAACTATTATGTAAAAAATATAAAACTCCACTATATCATTTCGTTTCTGCATTCAATTATGAATTTTTTTTTTTTAAGTTCCGAATTTTTATACCATAACTGACACATAATATTTGATACATCAACATTAGTAATTCATCCATTATGGTGCTCATGAGACTGAAAACTAAATTGAATTTCATCCCAACAAATCATGATATACCAACGGATTTCTTAAAGTAAAATATCTACCGATGGATTAAAAAAAAAGATCTAATCTTTTTATTACTTTTAAAGGAGTTATAGGAATTGAATTTCTATCCTTTCAATCATTAATATACTTGGTAATATTCGATACAATGAATTAATATAAAAAATTAAAGTTCATCGTATTAATAATTATCGTACTACTTAATTGAGTAAAAACAACTAATAGTAAGTATACATCATAGTTCCCAAATGGCCATGGCCATATAATAATATCCTCTCTTAAGATGATGGCCATGGCTTCTTCTTCTTCTTCTTTTTGTTTCAAAGACGACAAAATGTCTAGGCGTAACTTTGTAGTTCTCTTAATTTTGGCTTACGGTCTTGTCTTAACGACTTGCTCTCGACCATCGTCTCGAGTTTACATCGTTGAGGTGCTCAATGAGTTTCCTCATGATCCCTATGCATTTACTCAGGTGACTCATTTCCTTCGCATGTTTGTACACACAAATACAGACGAGTATACGTACATTTATGATAAATTATTGAATTAGTTTTTAAATTTTAACATTTATTAAATTAATTATCCACAATTTTAGAATTTCATTTATGTATTTTTATATCGAATCTTTCTTATTTATTAAAATTTTAATTAAGAAAAATAATTATTTATTTCAGGACTCAAATAAAATAATCTAATAGAATGGTAAATTATAATGCATGCAGGGTCTGGTTTATGCAGAGAATGATACCCTCTTCGAGTCGACTGGTCTTTATGGCAGGGTGCACCATTTTTTTTAATCCTCTATATATATATATATATATATATATATTTTTTTTTTTCAGCTTAAACTGAAACTTATTATTATTACTAATATTATTATTATGGGTAAGAAATATTGTGTATAATTAATAAAATTTTCCAATTTTTACTTTTGATTTTAAAATAATTTTGTGATTTTTCTATGAAATTCACTCTTTAAACTTTATATTACGAATTATTGTTTCAGTCATCGGTTCGACAAGTAGCTCTTCAAACCGGGAAGGTAAAAATTACATAATGCTAAATTTTTCTTAATATTAACTCTTTTATCATCCATCGATCATCTTTAAATAATTGTATATTCGTATATTATAATTACCCGTATTTAAAAAAAATAAAAAATTACTTCAAATTTTTAATGTATTACAATTATTTTAATTAAGATAATATAATCAGTTTATAATATTTATTTTATAAAAGAACGTAATAATATACTAACACTTAATTTAAATTGATCGTCGTAATTCTAACAATACGTTAATACGATAAGTTATTATATATTTATATTTATGAAAATAATGTATACCATATTGTTTGTTATTTACAGGTTGAGAATATTCATAAGATGGATGATTCATATTTTGGGGAGGGTTTAACTCTTCTTAATGAAAAGTGAGTAATATAAAATGTTGGTAACAATTTTTTTTGAGAATTTTGTCTTTAATGTGCAAGGAATTCAATAAGCTGAATTGGGATTAATTATTTAATGTGTAACCTTTTTTGGATTTTATATTATGTTTGGAACTATAGGTTATAATTTCACATTTAATAAATTTAGAATATATTTTCCAAAGTTCACATATAACGATATATAAATCTACTATATAAATTCATACATACACACATTTTTACACAGTTTTTGTATTAATTCCAAATATAACCTAAGGTAATTTATGGATAGCTATTAATAATATATATACTAATATAATGTCTTTTAATTTTTTTTTTTTCAGGTTGTACCAAGTAGTTTGGTTGAAGAATATTGGTTTTATATACGACCGTCGTACCCTAAGCAATGTTCGTATTGCCTCTACTCTACCACTGTTGCTTTAATTAATTAATTAGTAAATTATTCAGAAAATAATTTTAACTAATTAATTAAATTAATAATATTTAAAGCATTCAAATGTGATTTAATTGTAATAAATTTTTAGTTATAAAATAAAATAAAATTATAGATAAATAAATATTAAAAATTAAATTGTAGTAAGAATTGGATTATAATAATTAATTCAATAATTTATTCTCTCATTAAATTGTTGTAATTAATTATTTAATTAATTTATTAAATATATGGAAATGCAATTTTTGCAGATCAAGAATTTTACCCATCAGATGAAAGATGGCTGGGGACTAGCAACTGACGGGAAAATCTTGTACGGAAGTGACGGCACTTCAATATTATACGAGATTGACCCTCACACCTTTAAACGTTTGTATTTAAATTTTCTGTCTTGGTTCCGTTTCATTTAGTCTTCTTTTTTATGTTTTAATTTAATTAATAATAATTTTTTTAATTATTTATATTTTACGTATATCTTACGTCATATTATAACGTATTTACGTAGTTATTAAAAAGCACAATGTTAAATACAATGGTCATCGAGTGATTCGTCTCAACGAGTTGGAGTATATAAACGGTGAAGTTTGGGCAAATATTTGGCAGGTATGTATTTTCTTTCTTCTTCAAAATAATTAAATCATAATATCGTAAATTTCTCCGTGTACTTAAAATAAAAAAATATATATTTATTTATTAATTAAGTGATATACATACATCAATTATAATATAATATAACAAAATTTATAAATAAAAAAAATACGTAATAATATAATCTGACTCAAACTTATGTCTTTATTCTCCTAGGAAATACCTATACTAACTTGAAAATAATATTTGGTTTATATATAATATATATTTAAGGTGAATTTTGTATTTTTTTTTAACAATTTATGGGATTTACATTCTTAATATTGTGTTTCAAAGAAGGAAAGTAAGAGACAATGATAGAAAATATTGAGAGAGAAGGAGAGAAATATAAAATTGTTTTAATTTTTTTATTTTTAAAATAATTTAAATTTTTTTAATCAAAACTAAATACTACGTTAAACGACACGTATAATTTGAAATACAAAGTTAACATATTAAATAATATAATGTGTTCATTCTAATAATACATAACATAATCGTTAATGATATCAATAATCACTGTTATAGATTAATATTATTTTTTTTTTTTATATCGGACAAATTTAATATCCAAAGTATAATATATGTTATCTCTTTGTAGACCGATTGCATAGCTAGAATCTCAGCAAAAGATGGCACTTTACTCGGGTGGATACTTCTTCCAAATTTGAGGTTTTTCCACTTAGCTTTTATCTTACCAAATTTATCGCTAAAATTTAATTTTTACTGGGTTAGATTATTCATAAAATAAGTTGATTAAATAAATATTCTTTTTTACAGGAAAAAACTGATTGACGAAGGATTTCGTGTAAGTATTTTTTGTAAATAAATTTATATATTTATTAATTAAGTGATATATATACATCGATTATAATATAATATAAATAATTTATATAAAAAAATAAAAATCTAATATCAAATATAATTGTTTAAATTATTTTCCACTAGTCAAATTGTCAAAATTCAATTATATAAAAAAATATTCAATTTTTATTGTGTTATAGGACATTGATGTTTTAAATGGCATAGCATGGGATCAAGAGAATAAGCGCATTTTTGGTAAGCTCTAAGTAATATGAATGTTTTATATAGGGTCGTATTTTGGATTAATTATTTAATTATTTTAATATATATTTACATATTTTATAAAATATTAAAAGTTTTTAAGTAATGAATTATTTTGCAGTCACAGGAAAATTATGGCCGAAGCTTTTTGAGATCAAGTTGCACCTAGTAAGACATCGAATTCCCGATGGATACATCGAACGACATTGTTTGAACTTGAGAGACAACACTCTTTCTTTAAAGACAGACATCGACTAATTATAGCAATTAATCGAGTTCCTCGAATACGAATAATGGTTTAAAACTTTGTATTATACGATATAAAAATATTATTGTTGAATATATTATTACGTTATTTTCTCTATACTATATGTAAGAATTATTTTAAAAAATAAATAAATTAAAATTTTATATATTTATAAATTTATACTTAATAATGATTGTATTGAGATATTGTTTGCTATGAATTGAATTTTTTTATAAAGTTCTAATTTAAGAAATTTATAAAATTTTGAAAATCAAGTAAAAAAATATTTAATTAATGTATTTTTATTTAATATATAAATAAGAAGTGACCCATAAATTATAATTGAGTTTTATTGATGCTTTAGTTATTTTTTCATTTATAGAAAAAATAAATTAGAATTTTTTATTAATTTACATGAAAAAATAAATTAAATTATTTTTAGTAATTAATAAAAATAAGTAAATGTATATTTTCATTTAATTATATATTTTAACAAATATAATTAAATATTATTTAAAATATATATTTAAAATAAGATTATAGTTCGCATTAATGGAAATCACTTTCCGTTTAACACTTTGTTAAGAACTAGTACAGTAAAAACACTATCATAACCTGACGTGAGCTCAGATTCCAAGCTAAGTCAAGACCATCCAGGGAGAACCAAAGTTCCGCTTGGAGAACCGAGCAAATTCCAGTCCCCCCAGGTCACTGACCGTTGCAATTCCTACCCAACGCACCTGCACAAGCAATGTCGCTACTAACACGGAGCGCCCCGTCCGTGGTGATCTTTATCCAATTCTGGGGCGGTGGAATCCAGCTGATGAGGTCTTCCTGTTTCTGAAAGTGTTGCACCCGTATTTAGAATAATTTTTAATCAATATATAGGTTATAAAATGCAGTGAATTAATCCATTTACCCTTTGATTCACTTAAGCGCTGAAAATTAATATAATTCGCTCTCTCTTCTCTCCCGGAGGAGTGAAGGCCTCATCTTCATCTTCTCGCCGTTCTCCCCGCCGGTCTCCCCCTCGGACGTGATAATTCTTCATCGTGAGTCGCTGTCTTCGTCTTCCACTTCATGATATTCAAAGATATTTCGTGCTCGCGCAGATGTTTTATCCATTACTTTTTCATCCATGACGCTGGAAGAACTGCCGTTTTAGTTGCCCGCCGGACGCTGGAAGAGCACCGGAACGGTGGAGGAAGACCGCGCGGCCACCTACTTCGGCGAGACTAGTGGTCAGGTCGATCACTGTGAGGAGCAGTTGAGCTCGAGGACATATCGGTCATTTAAATGTTATCATTCCGTTCATTTTTCAATTCCATTTAATACATTTCCGAAAAAGAAAAATCTACACCTTTGAAACGGCGCCGTAATATATTGTAAGTCAAGATGTCGCCTCTTTCTCAATTAACGACGACATCTCGGATAGTCTCAGATTGTCGTCGTCACCTTCAGATGCCGCAGCCTCAGTAAGACCGATCTTATTAATGGCTTCCAAACGGCACAACAAGCAGATCAATAAACGATTTGGCGCTAAGAGCAATACGACAATGAATACTCGTTTCAGTTACCGGAAAATCTCTATACTAATACCAGTTGTTTTCGTCTTCGCTTCTCTTCTTATCCTTGCAATTTTTTTGAATATTTGGAAAACGCCGGTGAGTTCTCGTCGGGGGCCGCAAATTTATACGGCTGAAATAGTGAACGAGTTTCCTCATGATCGGAATGCCTTTACTCAGGTTCGTTCAATTTTGTTGTCTGATTTTGAATTTAGGAAGAACGTGATTTGGTTAGGGATCTGAGGTTGTTTTGCTTGCAGGGTCTGCTTTATGCTGAAAATGATACCTTATTCGAGTCAACTGGGCTTAACGGGAAGGTAATGATGATACTGGTCTCTCTTTGAAATGGAGTAGAAATGATAATTGATGTTCAATGTGCCGTATAGTCGTAGTTTCTCTTTGTATTCTGCTTCAATTTGGCATGTTTTTATTTCCTCCATCATGATTGGCGAGATTAAGAGCATCTGTTTTTCTTTGAGAACATTTTAGATTACACACTTCAGTTGCTGACTTGATGTTACTCAATTATATCTTGATTGTGTCTATCATTTTGATAGATCATATTTTTCTCTATGATTCATTTCTGCTCAGATTCATCATATGCAATTTTTTTTTTCTAACTTCCCATTATTGTTTCAGTCATCGGTTCGGCAAGTAGCTCTTCGGACCGGAAAGGTAGATATTCCTGTTGCTAGTTTTAAAAGTTTCTGTTTGTTTCAATTTCTAGTATAAGGATAGCGAATTTATTCCTAGGAAATGTGAAATTATGGGAGGGCAAGTACATTCACTGGTGTTGTGAAGAGAGACTTGTATTAGTTGGGGATAAGCTATTTGGTACCAGGTCTAACAGGATCGGTCAACATATTTGTCGTACCTTTCTCAGCTTTTTGGCTAAGATCAACCGTAGTCAATTATATGTGTCAATTAGATTATTATGCTATGCATGCTGATGTTCCATGGGGATAAGAGCTTATTCAAGTCCAAATGATAAAAGAGTTTTATCAACCCTTGGTTTTAATCTTGGAACCCGCCATTTTTAACTATTTGTTTTTCATTTCAAAATTCATGAAATGTCTAATACAGGTTCAGAATCTTCAGAAGATGGATTACTCCTATTTTGGCGAGGGTTTAACTCTTCTTGGCAAAAGGTTAGTCTGGAAAACTTGCTATTTGCTCTTCGTTATGTTTTCAATAAGAAAATAAAAAATTGAAATTCAATTAGCTCTTGGTGTTTTCTTATGTGATCACAGTTATCTATTTAACTACTGGCCAGTAAGAAAATGAATCTGCGCTTTTCGTCTGACATTCAATATCTGTTAAGCCTTTTCTTTCAGTTCTTATATCGTACTTATAGGTGCCTTCTTTAAATAAGTGTTGGTTTCATGTGAGGTTTCCGTGCTTGGAAAAAAAAAAAACACTTGGGACGTATTGCGCAAATTGTTGGTCCTGTACTTAGGTGTAGCCTTTTTCCCCGGCAAGATGCATTATAATTTACATCCTTTGGGGATTGAGGGTTGAGATATTGTCGGTGAACAAATTAATATGACTTGTGAAATACAGCAATTATCAGGAAATAATAGAGTTAGACCTGTAGCTATTAGGATTCTAACCTGCAGTCTTTAGGTCATAAGCCTAACGAGTCGACCAATTCCTCTATCCCACTTCTTCTCCTTCCATTTCTTTCACTATTCCCTTGTACAAATATTTGTTCATGAAACATTTGGTGGGTTGATTGGATGGAGTGTTGTTTCTCGAAGAATGATAGGAAACCTAAAAGAGGGAAAACCTAAAAGAAAAAAAATGAATTTTGTTGAGTGAATGTCACTGTGCATGTCTGTAATGAACTTGTTACTTCTTTTTCCCCAAGCCAAATTGTATTTTGTTTTTTTTTTCTTGAATGCTACCAATAAACTAGATTGTTGTCATTAAAAATAAGAAGAAATATACTTAACCCAGATATTGAGTTTATATAACAGCAGATTTGGTGTTTGTAGACCTCGTTGGAATAACAGGTTTCTGTGCATGCACTCGTACTTATTCTAATATAATTTTTTTTCCCTACTTTAACATATGAACCAGTGTCAACAATTGAAGGTAACAACACTAATGTAGTAAATTTTTATGTTCTTTTGTAGGCTGTTTCAAGTAACTTGGTTGACGAACACTGGTTTCATATATGACCGTTATAATTTAAGCAAAGTTTGTGCTTCAGTGCTTTCCTTCTAATGTTCCTATTTTGTTGCTGTTCTTATCATCTGAGTTTTTATATAGTCATTATAAAATATCTTCTGATTCATATTCTTAATTAAATCTGTTTGCTGCTTTGTTTAGATTTGGGGGTGTTATTCTTGATTCTTCATGCATTCCTATAAATCATCTTAATCCTCCATGTAGCTTCTGAAATAAGAAGTTGGAAGTAAAATTGAATATTGAAACTTAAATGAGAATAATTGAAGAGATGTAATGAGGAAACATAGTTCAATGGTTTGTACGGTCTCTAGGCTAAGAGTTCTAAAAAAAGGATTATTGCCTCTAATCTAGAATACTTCACTTGATGCTCTGATGAGCCATCTGATCTCTAGGCTGACAAGATAAAAGCAGAGCCTCTTCTTAACTGAAATCTCAATGATCCAAAATCTCCTCAACTTCCCCTTCCCAAACCACTTCATAAGTTTTTGTTTCTATCACCAAGAAAGTTTTTGGTGATAGAAATGGTGTGGTGAAAGAAAACCAGCCAAAAGATGAAGGTATAAAACCCTAGGTAGAGGGAATCCCTGCTTGCTAGAAATACACTCTCACTAGAAACTGGAAACTAAAACTCAACAGACAGTGTATTATTTGAATAAGTTTCTGTTGTCTCCAACAACATGAATTTTAGTTACTTTTGTACTGAAAACAAAATGGGTCTTGTCATCCGCCTGAAATGATGGTTTACTGTATCTTATGCTTTTTATAAAAAAAATATAGGCAGGCCAAGCAGGACTTTATTACAAGAGTTACTTATGTGAAAATAATTGCTGCTTTGAGATATTTAGCTAGTAGTTTCTATTTTGGTTTTGTCATGATGTTATGTCCCTGTTTAAATATTGTATATGAATTCCAAAGGCTATCAGATATTTATGGTCCTAAATTAGTCTTTGATGTCCCCGTTAAAACTTGAGGCAATGTGATTATTACCCTTTACCCTGCTGTTTCTTCTGTATAGGATTATTAATGACACACATAAAAGTGGTCCTATCCAGTCTGTTACTAGCTACATTTTTTTTTTTAACTTCTCCTTTTCCATTGCCGTATCTGGATCCCACATAATGTATGCTTTTGTGTTAACTGCAGTTCAAAACATTTACTCATCAGATGCGTGATGGGTGGGGACTAGCAACTGATGGAAATGTTTTGTATGGAAGTGATGGTAGTTCAACACTGTATCAGATCGACCCTCAAACACTGAAAGGTTTCCCTTGCATACAACAGCCAGTCTCAATTCAGTTTCTTTTCCTCCATATTTGTTGGTCTAATTATAAGTACACTAACATATGGTGTTTCTGTCCAATAAACTGGTATCTTTTTATTTTTACTGACAGAGAACTCTCCTGCTTATTTTGTGTTGCCATTGAAATTTTGGCCTTATTTATTGCAGTCACAGAAAAGCACATTGTCAAATACAATGGTCATGAAGTAAGCCAACTCAATGAGCTGGAGTATATAAATGGTGAAGTTTGGGCAAATATTTGGCAGGTATTTCCTCTTATATTGAGTTTTACTATTTTCTAACCTGGTAGGAAATTAGCTAGCAAGGACTATCTATTAGCCAATGCTTAAGGTGTATTGTCGTTTTGGATGTATCTGAGGTAATCTTGTTTTCTTTTGTAGACTGATTGCATTGCTAGAATCTCGCATAAAGATGGTGCTGTACTTGGATGGATACTTCTTCCAAACTTGAGGTCCTCTCATTTGCTATCCCTTCTCGACAAGTTAGCTTAAATTTGTTGCCAATATAATTAATATTGGCACAATTGGTTCTTAACATGTATTAAGGGACTAACTTTTTCTTTATTTTCCTCAACAGGGAAAAATTGTTAAAAGCTGGGAATCGTGTAAGTACTGACTGCCATATGTTTATTTTTAAGAAGATTGTGGAAGGAAGTTCTTAAGGGGGTTTTCTGTTAACATATGTTTGTCCTCTTTCCTATCCTTATGGATAATCAGATTGTTGTATGAATTCATTTTCTTTTGGTTTCTAATTTACTATCAAATATCTTATTGTGCTCTAGAATATTGATGTTCTGAACGGCATAGCATGGGACAGTGATAACAAACGCATTTTTGGTGAGCCTCAATACTCCAGTGTATTCCAATTTCTCTGTCATTCATATATGGGGCCACAAATCATATCTCATCTGTTTTCTTCCTCCCAATCCACAATATTCTTTTCTTTGTAATCACCTGCTAATGTCTGTCTTTAAGTACTTTTATCTTGAATTATGCCTATCCTGCTGCTTATAAAGGCTATATTTAATGTCAAAAAATCCGTTTCGTGGTAACCCACTAGTTCTTGCATTGTCGTCTATTATTGTTTGTGGTGTTCGTGTTTGGTCGGCCACATACATATATTAAAACGGCTCTTATGCAGTGACTGGAAAATTATGGCCAAAGCTTTACGAGATCAAGCTGCATCCAGTGAAGCAGCATTTTAAAGCTGGAGTTATCGAGGAACTCTGTGTGAGATAGCCATGCATGCTGCAGCAAATGACTAGTACGGTGAGTGTGAGTATACTCAAGTAATTTTGCGATGTAAGAAAAATATTTTGATGGGTTATTTTATTACAATATCTGTGTAATGTATCATTTAGTTCATGCGGGGAAGGAAGTACATTATTCTCGAAAGTTATACAATGTTTGGAAAAAATATATCATTTATATTACAGTTTTTACAATGTGTCATTTAGGGTTTGATTGCAATAAAATGAAAGAATTATTTGTAGATTTTATTTAAAAATTTATACTTAATTCAAACATAAAAAATGAATTTAAAATAAAATATGAAGTAAAATCGAGGCAATTTTTAAAATTTGAATTGAGTTGATGAACATTTAGAATTGAATTTATACATAAGATTAATTTATTCTTAGGCATAAAAAGTTCTGTGTCATGTTTGGCAAGTAACTAGAACTCCTTTTAGTTTTCTATTTGACATGTAAAGAAACCTCAATAGAACTAAGATGATTTGAACATAGAAAATTAAACTCTGTCATCATAAAAAATTCAACTTTGATATCACTAAGGTGTCTGTTTACAACACTATAAACTCCTTGCGATAAAAAAGATATTGTAAAAAGATAAAAAGAATAAAAAAATTCATTATCTAAAGAAACAAAAATAGATGAAGAATTCACCATGTATTCGCTAAATTAAGGAAAGAGATCATCGAGATATAGAACTAATTTCTAGTAATCTGAGCAGGATCAATTACAAAGCCATGAACCGATCCTCTCCGGTTATGGCCATTGCCTAGGGAATTTCCAGGAGAAAGAAATGAAGAAGCCATCGTGATGTTAGAAGGCACTGCCATTTCAGGAGAATGACCTGAAATGCAAAGGCTACCCTTTTCATCTTCTTCCCAGAATACTTCAACCATAATACCTCTCGGATTTTCTGAAGTTTCTGTTCCTGGGATCCCCACGAACCTTGCTCCTATAGGTACCTGCATTGTCATGACAAAAAAAGCACCATCTTTCTTTAATTTTTTTATGAATTAGTCTTGTACTTCAAACATATTACAATGCATATGTAGGTTTTATATGTTCGTTTTATCTAGTGTAGGCAAACTTTAGTTGAAAATACAAGCAATTATATCCCATGTTAAATTAAATTCTGTCCTTAAATTTGATGCCCCTAGAACAACAAGGTTAAAGAAGAAGTGGTTAAATTGCACTTACCTTCACTGATACACCTGGTCTTAAGGTCAAAGTGGCCGTGCTTCCATCTATTGCAGCATTCTCGAGCTCTGCCTGCCTCGCTATATTTAGGAAGACTTCTTCTAAGGTTGCAAGACCAAGTTGAATATCTGCTATGCCAAATTCATTTTCTCTATCTTGCAGCTCCACAAAAAAATTCTGTTTGAAAATTACAAACTCCAAAGGGATGAGCAGGAAAAGAAAGAAGGTTAAACAGAAAGTATAAAGAGAAGATTGTTATGTTTCTTGAGATTGTTGCATGTGTCATGTTCATGATTATATCTTGTTACTACCTACATTAATTTCAAACTTGAGCTGCTACACAGGTTAGTTAGCGGTTAGGCATTTTACTTAAATTCCAAAGAGATTATTAAGCAATTGCAAAATAAGGCAAGATGAAATATAAGCAACGAACTTACAGTTAAAAGCTTCTCTCTATCTCGTGGAATAACAAATGTGCAGAAAGCTTTGTTTTCCTCCAGCGGTATCACATTCAAGTGCTGTAAAAAGATCAAATAAATTAGGGAGCAACTCTAATCAAAAGTATAATAAGTTTTCTACGACATACTTGTTTAAAGAAGTGCTTCACGGCATCTTGGTTTTCTGCACCAACTGCTTCTATATTGGTACGACTTTGTACATTATTGTTTCCAGCGAAGCTAACATTAGTAATAAAGCCAGTACCAAAACGTGACTTCAGCCTGATAGATGTTCCAATGCAGCGGAGCCTACCCTTTGCCATGATTCCTATGCGGTCGCTTAGAATGTCTGCTTCTTCCATAGAGTGTGTTGTGAGGACAATTGCGCGCCCTCTTTTGGCGTCCTGTATTATGTCCCATACATGTCTCCGTGTGATTGGATCCATACCAGTAGTCTGCAGATGAACAATATATTTAGCAACACCAGTAAGGAAATAAATTCTTCACTTAACCTGATCAAATACATATGGATGTACCGGTTCATCCAAAAAGACCAATTTAGGATCTCCAAGCAGAGCAATTGCAACACTAAGGCGGCGTTTCATTCCTCCACTGTAACTCCCAGCTCTAACTGCAGACTTCTCAGTTAGTTTTACATCTGCCAATGACTTGTGAACTAGCTGCATTTTAACAAGGTTAATCATCATCAATTACTGAAATGACAGCAAGAAACATGGGAGTTGAGTCACTCCGTCTGAGGTTTAAGAAGCACATACTGACTGAATTAATGTTGTTGGTAGCCCTTTAATACTGGAAAACAGGTAGAGGTGCTCTTCAGCAGATAAAGCATCCCAAAGGATGTCAAACTACAAAAGGATAAAACCAATATTAGTAATTGCACAATGGATACAACAAACACTCAGCAAGTGAAAGATATAATCAATCACCTGTGGACAAACTCCTATCAGTCTCCGAATGTTTGACATGCCAACGGAGCTTCTTATGGAATTTCCGTAAATAAGCGCTGCCAACAAGGTAGTTTTTAATATTATTAGATGCCTCCCAAACTCCTTCCCCTCTACCCCAGACCCAATACAAAGACTACAAGAATGCTGCTTACCATCTCCGTAAGTCGCTGGTGTTATACCAGTCAAACAGTTGATTGTAGTAGTTTTTCCAGCACCGTTGGGTCCAAGCAGACAAAATAATTGATCTTTTTCAATGTTCAACCATAAGCCCTGAAAGTTTACAAAATTAGCACTTTAATTCATGCTAGAAGATAAGTTCATATAACAATTTTTTTTTTGCTTCCGGATGTTGGCACTTAGTGAGTGATTACACACCAGATCAACCTCAAGAAAAAGGATTGTTGGATGGAAAGGAAATTTCAGAAGAAGCCACTTACTCTGATAGCATGATACGGTGAAGTCCTTTTGCATTTACAGCAGCAACCAATATTCCTTGTTCCGGGAAATGTCTTTACAAGGCCACGTATCTGAACTGCAACACTAGAATGAACAGAATCTTGCCTTGTTTGTTGTTTAACAGTATTTTCTTCTTCAATGACATCCTCATCCTCTGGAGGGATATGTTGCGGTGGTGGAACAGAACCCATGCAACCACAAATTCCACCCTCTATGTAGGAAAGGAGAAAAAGGGTCAGTGTTATTTGTTAATAACAAAATGTCACCAGTTAAGTGAATTTCAAACTCATACCTTCTACCTTGTTTCCACCTTTCCCTGTCCAGTAACCAGGCCTTAAAAAGTAGAAAATTGATTTTCGCACACCATAAGTGTTTGGAAGTACGTTATCCAAGTATATAGCCAAAATGAACCAAAGGGCAAAACTTCCAATCAGCCATAGGTAGATATCATTCTGTCAAAAAGTAAGAGATATAAATATAGCTACAATGACAACATTAAGATGCAATGCATGGTGTTGCAGATATTAGAACCTTAAGGTCCAAGTTTTGACTTACAATTGTCATCACACAATCACCATCAACATTTGGAATACACTCTGCTCTTTTGCTCCAGCTAATTCCAGGATTGCGAGGAGTTGTAATTGCTTTGCTAAGCAGAGCCAGTCCTCGGGAAAACGGATTAGGTGGAAACAATGACCAAATGGCTCTAAGAAAAGTAGAGGATTTGCGATCATAAGGGAAACCACTTGATGTGGCAATCTACAACAAGAAAATGAGAGTTTCATTACTAAGGAACATATAACTCAACTCTTAAAAGAGGTATTTAGGAGACTTTACCTCTGTGATAAAACCAACTATGAACAAAAAGAAACCAACTGTGGTTGCTGAAGATGACTTGCTAATGTAAGATGACAGCATGAATGCCAGACCCATCTACCATAAGGATTCAAATGAAATTTAGATGAATATATTAAAAATCAACCAGTAGAAAGTAGCAAATATTTGAACTCAAGCAATAATGAAAGACTAGCAAAGGTTGCTGGAACAAAAGTTTACCAAGTTGAACTGGAAAAGAAAGAAGAGAAGAAACACTACTACAAAACTGTTCTTCAAGAAAAAATCAAACTGGAACATCATTCCAAAGAGAACTGTCAAGATTGATGAAACAGTTGTGATGATTCCTTCCCAAGTTAGCCATGACAACCAATAAGCAGAATCAAAAAGACCCATCATTGTCATTGCCTGTTTGTGGAGAAAAATCCACAATTAGTAATAATTATGTAAAAAAGGCTGTAAATGCTAATCCTCGATTGAACTAAATTTTCATACCTGCCGAAGTTTGAGCTCTTTCTCTGAAACCAAAGAACTGATTTGAAACACAAAACCAAACATGGCCACAGTAAGGAAGAACACTGGTCCCATGCTATCCAGTATAGAAGAAGCTTTTGGTGCGGGATATGCAGGGCGGGCAAATTCCTTAAATCCAACAGCCCAGCTAAAGTTTGGATCTGAACATGCATGGACAGGGTCACATATTAACAAATATTAACTGACCAGTTAAATTTAAGTATAGATGTCATTACTTAAGAAGCATACCACTTAATAAACTCATCTTAAAACAAAGGAAAAACAAAACTTAATCAGTACCTCCAATTAGAAATCTAGAAATTTCACGTTCAGCGGCAATCTGGAGTGGGATTTGCATTCCAAATGTGGGATCTTCATTAATCCCACTCGTATCTTCTGTGGTAGAATTAGTCTGTATACCATAGCCAATTACTGTAGCATTTCTTTCCGTAAAATGCAAAGCTCCAGGTACACGCATGGGATTAGCAAAAAGCCATTCGTCTACCTCCTTGGTTGTTCTAAATGATTTAACCTGCATAGACAAAGTCAATGAGGGAATGCCACATTTCATCTACTTCCAGAATAAGCAAAGCCTTAGTTTTACATACATATGATTGAAAAAAGAAATAATAACGATGTGAAAGTTTATTCAAAACAGCCACTGGTTCTAGTCTTTCAAAGAGTGATCCCAAAAGATTAAATCCAAAAGAAAAAAAGAAGCAAAAGCTACTGCACTTGCTTCCATCTGAAATGCTACAAAAGTTACAATTAAAAGAAAAAAAAGAAAAAGAAAGGCAACAGAAGCTTTTACGTCGAACAAAAATTAACCAGGACTACTGATTCCAGACATCAAACAACTGATAAGGGTAAAATTCGAGTTCTACTTTTCAATAATCTTATAATTGTAACTGAAGAATTACATTTGTCCAAATAGCAAAGCATCCTACGTCATTGTCTGTCCTTTCCTTTTTATTCCCATGGAGTTTCTGACAGACCAAACCCATTTTTTAGAAGAAAATTCTGTCACTCACCTCAGCCACCAACCACTCATTTCATTTATAATCAACTGCCTTTACGCTGTTCATTCAAAAATCAGCACAGGTTTTCATCCTTATTTTCTCGTCGACCAACAGAAATAAAAAACACAGAAAAACGCATTACCTTACTATCTGGAATCGGTCTACCAGGATTATTGGCCATGATAGCTCTGACAATCCTTCTGACTCTTCGGCTCCCGTTTCCGCTCCAAACGAAGTCAAAACAAGGGAGCTTCAAGGATAACTTATCCTCGCAAGGAGGAATTGATGGCGAGACTAGCATCACCGGGTCCGTCTCGGCTTTCATTCCCGTCGAAGACGCCAACCTCGCCTCCGTCGCTTTCTGTATTAAGAAAATGAGGAGGATGAAGAAGAACGAAGAGAACAGCTGAAGAAACGTCGCTGTCTTATTCCTCCATGAAAGTAGTAGGTTCTTCTTGAGGAGCGCTTTGAATTGCTGGTAGAGCAAAGGGAAACCTCTCTCCAAATCCATGCTTGTACTCTTCTCTCAAATCTTTCTTAACTTACTTGCTTTCTATTGTAGGCTCAATGACGATATATATACGCGTACACACACACCTATATGAACTATAAAGCATCACGGAAGTATCTCACATTCGATTTTGAAACGCAAAACCAGGAAAGGAAAGAGAGAAAAGAGAGGAGAGACAGCAGGGCCAAAAATCACGCAGTGTTGCTTTCCAAGCGTTTCAGTTTGTTTTCCGCGGCTTCTGTTTTCCGTTTGTAGGATAGTTAATAACTCCAGCCGGCACTGTGCCGTTCCGTCAGTTGTAAAATTGGAAAACAAATTTCCCCCTGGAATTTCACGGAATTACGAAATTGCCACTACGTTTTGAATTTCAAGTAACTAATCCATCCCCGCCCCCCAAATCTGGTAAACGGCGTTTTTCAATTTGAGGTGTGGTAATTAATTAATAGCCGAAAAAGGAAAAGAATTAAGGAATAATATTTGTTTTTCGAGGAAATTAAGGAAGAGAAATTTAATTTAAGGATAAAGTGTGAAACCGTGTGGCTAAAAATGCAAAAGAATAACAAGCAATCTGATAACCGGGTGTAATTAAAGAAAACAAAATCAATAATATTAATTAACATTTAATTACGTTGGATTAAGATTAATTAACAATTACATGACACATATTTTATACAATTAAAAACTCTTATCCTTTTTAAGCTTTCCTTCCGGGATAAGATATTATTTACAGCCCAAAAAATTA